GCTTGTCCCTACATGATTTACTTGTCTCACATATGCTTTTCTTTGTCTTTTTGACTCAATTCACAAGGAAGAGCATCCTGTTATGGCATTTATCACCCTTTTTGGAGCTTCTTCGATTGCTTCTATTTTCATGACTTGTGGTGCTTCTATAGCATTTTGCCCTCGCTGATCTCGGGCCCCCTCATACTTGTTCTCATATTGACTGACATGCTTTTCCACTAATTAAGCCATATGCCTACATTCCTCAGTGGAATGGCCTCCTAGACCATGAATTTCGCAAAACTTGCTATAGCATTCTTCCGTAGAATGACCACCTAGACCATGTGCTTTACAAAACTTGCCATGATCAAGCTGATATTATTTTCCTCCGCTTCTGTCATTATTCCACCATTGTCCTCTACCTCTGCCAGAATTCCACCATTGTCCTCGACCTCTTGCAGACTGCCCCCAATTGTTTCTTCCTCCACGAGTGTTTTCCCATTGTCTCTTCCCTTTTCCTTCTCCATTATTTGAGTCATCTCCAATGAAGTTTACTTGTTTTTTCTGATCTTGCTTGTAATCGTTCTTGAATTTTTTTTCCATGGTTTTGCAGTGTTTTCTGCTTTTTGTTCTTCCCCTAAAGAAACTTGCTTGTTCTTCGTCTGCTTCTTTCCCAACAATGCAGCCTCTTCTGCTTGCACTCTTAGCTCATCTTCTTCTCCTCTTGCAAAACTTTCCATTCTTTCAAATAGGTCCTTTGCTGTCTTTGGCCTATTCCTTGCAAGATCGAAACGGAGAGGGCCAGGCAACAAAGCTCTTTTTGCTGATGCTATGAGCATTTCTTCATCTACCTGCCTGATCTGACACCTTATTCTTGAAAATTTTACCATAAAACTTCTCAAGGTTTCTCCCGGCATCTGCTTCATGGCGTATAGGTTATCTGCTTCTTTTGGCTCTTCATATACACCAATGAAACCTGCTCGAAAAGTATCTCTCATATGCTCCCACGAGTAGATTGTCATAGGTGGAATGGTGGTATACCACGACAATGCCACTCCTTCTAGCATAGTTGGAAGTATTTTTGCTTTCGTTGTGTCATCTCCTCCGGCCGCTTCTACCGCCGTCTCATACACCCTCAAATATTCATTTGGATCTGTATCACCTTTGTACTTTGTGATGTTTGATAATTTGAAATGTATTGGCCAAGGTGCCATTTGCAGATTTTGGCTCAAGGGGCTCTGGGTATCGATTGCTCTCGCTGGTTGAAAATAGGATTGTGCTTATGCGAATTGGCCTATGTGGTTGGGGAATTGGGTGGCAAACTGGGTTATGTTTGGATTGGGCATTTGTGGAATGTAGTATTGCTCTTGTGTTGTTTCTAGTTGTTGTGAGTGAAAAAAGGGAAAGGCTTGATGCTGTTGGTTAGGGTTTTGCATTGTCTGATCATGTGATGCTTGCATGTAAGGTATATTGGCTTGGCGTGTTTGTACTTGAGGAATTTGAATATGTGGAATTTGCATTTGTGGAATGTTGGTTTGGGTTTGGGGGATTTGGTTTTGAGGAAAATGGGTCTGGTTGTAAAACTGTGGTTGTATGAGCTGTTGGGTTTGAATGGAAGGTAGATTTTGAGTAGTTTGCAAGGTTTGAGTGGATTGCGGAATTTGGGTGGAAAGTTGGTTTTGAACGGATTGTGGGATTTGAGTGGGAAGTTGGTTTTGAGGAACTTCTTGTGTTGACTTATCAACTGGAGCATTCCCTACTTGGGGATTCTCTTTTTCCACATTTCCAACATTTCTTTGGATCTCTTTCCCGACTTGATTCGGTTGACCTTCATCAGTGTTTAATGTCTCTGCCTCTCTGCCAGATCCTCCTGCTCCTATGGTTTGATCATGCAAAGCTTGAAGCCTTTGCAATTCTCTTTGCAGTTCTTCATATTGTTCTTTGTTCACCATAACAGCCCCTTGTGCTTGCACCATCTCGGCGAGCTCTACTTCACTTGGCGGGTTTTCTCTTGTTTCCTCTCTTGTTGGACTGACAGTATTTCCGCCTGGCATTGCTTTCTCCACTCTGGTTTGTGCTGATTGTCCAGTTATCTCTTCCCACTCTTTCAAGTGTTGCTGCTGCGCTTGCAAAAGTGTCAGTGTAGCGGATTGGCACTGACTTTTGCCTTTGGGAACGTTTCATTTACTATTCAAGCCCACTCCAAGGAGACTACACGTCCCCACGGACGGCACCACTGTCGTGACCCAAGGTCATGGACAAGATTGGGGATAGACGGGAAAACACCCTTTTATCACCTATCTTGAGAAATGAGCTCGAATACCAAATGAACACACACACTAAGTGACAAGACTTTTAGTATTCCGAGATATCTTGCCTGCTACAGGCTTTTTGTCTGCTTTATATAGTTCACAGCTTTACATGTGAGATTACAATTGCGCCCTTTGTTGGGCCCACATGAAATTACAATCATGCCCTTGCTATATCAGCTAACTCTAAGGGCATTTTGGTACATTATGGAGGTCATTATAGTCTTTTGGTGCCAGCTGGATGAAGTGGTTGAGTGGTCCTTGGGAATATTCTCTTGGCATCTTTGTTGTCCAAATTGCCTTCTTCATGATCAAGAGTCTTTTCCACCACCATAGGTCTTCTCCTCGACCGAGGGTCTTTTCCACCACCATGGGTCTTTTTCATGGCAAATAGTCTTTTCCAGCTCGACCACCCTTTCCGACTTATCCGGTAGCTGACCTGTTATTAACTCAGGAAATACTTAAAACGGATAATGAGATTTAGTGACAAGAATGTACTCGAACGGTATTTTCCAACTCGAATAGTGTTTTCCAATTCGAACAGCGTTTTACCGTTTCCCTGTTCGAATGACCATTTGCCACTCGGATACTATTCTAACTCAATCTCTTTCTCTACAGTGTTTTGGGCCGAATATAGAGGAGCGGTGGTAACCCCTTGCTACAACAAAATATTATGACATTTTTATAAATCTAATTAAATTTAAAAAATTTTATAGAAAAGTCAAAACGATTCAGAATAAAACGGAGGAAGTACTATAGTTGAAAGGATTACTATATCATTTGCGCTCTTCCAAGCTGACAAGCAATTGCGTCTCAACACTCAACAGGCCCTTGTTTTTGCGCTGCCCCGAGAATTCAGGCTCCTTTTCTCTCTCTTTTTTTTCTCTTTTTTTTGTCAAGGCCATATAGAAGCATATGCTTGAAAGAGCAACAACTACTGTTATGAATTCTAGTTCTAGCTTGTCTAGTAGTATACTAATTAACGAACAGCACGTAAAATATACATCTTCCAGTCAAACTAGTAGCTTGATTAACATCGATTGAGTTACCTATCAGTTAGATCGCGTATATTGCATTATCCTGTTTAGCTGAGTAAACGGTAAGCTGGATTAAACAAGCAGCCCACGCTACTATAATATTTTAGTTTATATTGCGTTAGTTAGCCAATGATTAGTTTGTCGACCTGGTATGGCGTGAAAATTTCAACCAATCGTACATAATTTTTGTTCGGTTTATCCTGGCTCTTCTACAATAATTGTTGACGACACAGCATATTTTGTATAAATGTGTTATATCTTGTATACATGCATCCGCCAATAAATCCCATTTGAAGCTAGATGGATACAAAAACATACAATTAATCTGATACGTGACAGATTTGTAGACATGATTAATTGTTGACATGTGAACTCTAGGACTGGACGTTTCCAAAGGAATCTGAAAAAACAAGCAGTTGCTAGCGGTGGGCCGCGGGTGGTATTTTAATTTACCGTATTAGCATACCCCAGCTGGTGCCGTCGTACACTACCTGCATACTCCTAAATGCAGATACGTACAGATCAAGTGCACGCAAAAATAAACTAAAGGATAATTTGCCCATGTAATTTTTTTCAGATAAAAGTCTCGCGCGGTCGGCATGTGTCTGTATATACTCCGATGCATGGGCGATTTACTCGGATGAACACCGTGGGCCTACAGGTACCGGCCCACCACCAACCACGTTGTACCGCGGTGTTCACCTCAATCAGAACAGTCCACTTTCGCAAGGGACCCGTGCATTAGGGAGAGGTCTCCCGTTTCAAGCCGTTAGCCTCTCCCACTCCCGTACGTTTCTGTGCGTTTTCAATTTCTTGTGATCCATTGGTTTATCGTGTTGGGAGATATTTATACGCTCCGTGCGTCCAGGCACCGATATTACAGCGTATGAGGATCGAGATGCATGGTTAATAATGATCATCCATGCAAAGGTAAAAGGTTCGTGCATGCAAGGTATTGCAACTGCCACCATGCCAAACCTGACGAACCAATGCTTCTTGTGCATATTCCTAGATGTGTCGGTCTGATATAGCCTGATAGAGTAAAAAAAAATGAGGTCCTGGAGAGATGATTAAATTCGTGCAGTTACTAGCCAACACAGTCGGGCCGGGTAGGCCGAGGACACCCACCGTGGCACGACGCGGGCGCGCGCGCGCGGCGAGTAAATATATAGGCGGCGCCGCCGTCTGGTTCTCCCCGGAACGGAGGCCTCTCGCGCGCAACGGACGTCGTCGTGGCTCTTCAACGTTGGGATATATATGTCCATGCACACGCGGCTCCGGTCATTCTATCTCCACCGCCCGCGCGCACGGGCTGCACGCGCGCGCGACGGCCGCGCACCCCGTGCATGCCGCGCGCGTGAGGAGGGTAGGGTAGCGTGGCCGCGCGCCGTGTTCCGACTTCCGACGCGCGGCGCGCGCGATGTCAGCGCGGCCCAGTTGTCCCCGGGCGCGGGCGCCACGTCGGCCGGGCGCCGCATACGTGTCCGGTGAACCGAGCGAGAGACTCTCCTCATCTCATTCCGTTTCACCGCTGCGGCTGCATCTGCATGCATGCGCAGCCCACACCGTACCCGCGCTGTTTTGTCCCCATGCCCCCCGCTCTCATAAATCTCAGCATGCCTATCGCCATGGACCCCCACAGGGGAGGCTATAAAAACACGGCACGGTCCCTGTAACAAACAGTGAGTACCCTTCCTCCCTGCAGCCGCATACACGCGGTACATGAGTTGCGGTCAGTAATTCGATCGGCTGTCGTTGGGAGATCGGGAAGAGTCGTCGCCGTAGCAGGGTAGTGAGGGTGTATACGCGCATACACATACACATCCACCAGCCCTTCCTTTTGTAGGCGCTCCCTGATTACTTTCTCTCTCTTCCTTGGACTGGCCTCCTCCCTCTCCATCCCCCACCATCTTTCCTTCTTTCTTTCTCCTTTGGACCCTTTCCAGTTGTCCACGCTCCCATCTTTTTCACCATCTCCTCCCATCTCCCCTCCCCTCCCCTCATCCGGCGTTCCACCCTGCCCGCCCTTGGCCGCCCGGAGTCCCCTTCCCTACTTGTACCAGCCCTTCTTTTCCAATTTCATCCTCTCCCTCCAATTCTACTACTCCCATCGCCACAGTCGCCACCCTCCCTCCCTCTCTCTCTCTCGCCGCCCACACCGCCACACTCCACTCGGTGTGTGGGAGGGAGAGGGGAAGAGGAGGCCGGCTGCTTGCTTGCTTGCTAGCTAGCTAGAATTGCCTACAATTCAGTACCGCTGCTTCCCCAATTGCTCTACTGGTTGCTTGTACAGCTCTACAAGTACGCAATTCAAGGTGGGGGAGGGAGCCAAGCCGGCCGGCCATACTAGTTCTCGCCTCCCGAGCTCTGGTGGTCTCTCCTCCTCCAGCTGGTGGGCGTTCAGGGCGGAGAAGTAGAGGCGGCGGTGCCGTGGGGCGGCGCCCATGCAGCAGCACCAGGGTGGCGGGTCCCAGTACGGGGCCGTGCCGCCGGACATGGGGCCGTTCTCGCCGACGCATCATGCTTCGGCGCCGGCCCCCCTGCCGCTGAGCAGCCGGCCACCGCCGGCGGCGTTGTCTCAGCCACCGCCGCCGCAGCAGCAGCAGCAGCAACCGAGGACGAGCTACGACGAGCTGGCCGCCGCGACCAGCGCCGGCGCGGGCGGCTTCCCCGACGACGACATGCTGGGCGACGCCGGCGGCAGCGGCGGCGGCGGTGGGTCGGGAGCGGCCGGCAACCGGTGGCCGCGGGAGGAGACTCTAGCCCTCATCAGGATCCGGTCGGAGATGGACGCCACCTTCCGCGACGCCACCCTCAAGGGTCCCCTCTGGGAGGAGGTCTCCAGGTAAGAGAGAGACACACACAGTGTGCATGCATGTGCGAGCATGGATGAGAGAGAGAGAGGGGGAGGGAGAACGAATCCCAAACACATTCGCAGTTGAGCAGCACAAGAATCCTTCCTTCCGTTCCTCGGGCATAATTTTTCCCTGCAGAAAGCGGCTAACGGTTTCGTGGAATTTAGCACTCGTCCCACATGAAATGATGGATAATTATCCAGTTACTGCCCCCAAATTCTCCAAAATTTCCAATTTCTCTCCCAACTCTAATCAAATACTTCTCGGTTTCTGCGAGACGGGGGAGGCAGGGAGTAGGTGTAGGTAGGATGATGATAAGAATCTGCGCGCCTGGGGATCGTACCACGGTGTGAGTGCTAGCGCAGGCAGGCAGCAGCTGCTGCCGCTTCAGTCTGCCACACTGTCGTTTTTTTGCTTTCATGGTTTCCAGTTTTTGGGAAAAGAAGGAAGGCAGCCTTTTGCTCCCATCCCAATGCGGCATCATCTTAATTTAAGCATTTCACTCCCCCTCTTCACTCTCATTTTTTTTCACTGCCATCAACTTCATCACATCGATCTCCTCCTGATCCCTAAAAAGACGAGACGGCCTGTGATTAACTAATCTCCCTTCTGCATATACAGCACCCTCCTCCTTGCCTCCTCTTCGCCATTGTCCTAATTCCCATCTCCTTGTCCCTTTCTCCCCGGGAGAAAAACCACTCATACGCAGTCGGCCAAGCACTTGATGCTTACTATGCCTCTGCGTTAGATGCTTCTCCTGCCCGTAGTAAGCGCTGCCATCATTTAATCCCCGATGTTATTTCAATCTTTGGTTGCACGCAAGTGTGAAGCGGCCGGCGGCTGACAGCAAAGCTTGGGTCTTTTGTCGCTCTCGTGTCTTTCAGGAAGCTCGCGGAGTTGGGCTACAAGAGAAGCGCCAAGAAGTGCAAGGAGAAGTTTGAGAACGTCCACAAGTACTACAAGCGCACCAAGGAAGGGCGCGCCGGGAGGCAGGACGGCAAGAGCTACCGCTTCTTCACTGAGCTGGAGGCGTTGCATGCCGCTGCGCCGCAGACGCCCCAGCCGCAGCAGCAGCAGCAGCAGCAGTTGCCGCCGGTTACAAGCAGCGCACCCGCGATGCACGCCTTCGCGCCGCCGGTTCCCGCGCCACCGCCGATGAGCGCAATGCCACCGCCGCCGGGGCCGATCCAGCCGGCCCCGATATCTTCTGCGGCTCCCGCGGTGCCCCTGGAGCTGCCGCCGCAGCCGCCCATCAACCTGCAAGGCTTAAGCTTCTCGTCCATGTCGGGGTCCGAGTCGGACGATGAGTCTGAAGACGACGAGATGACGGCGGAGACCGGCGGCAGCCAGGACCGCCTCGGCAAGCGCAAGCGAGGCGCCGGCGGCAAAAGGCTGGCGACTTTCTTCGAGGGGCTCATCAAGCAAGTCGTCGACAGGCAGGAGGAGATGCAGCGGCGGTTTCTGGAGACTATGGAGAAGCGAGAGGCGGAGCGCACGGCGCGGGAGGAGGCGTGGCGCAGGCAGGAGGTGGCCCGCCTCAACCGCGAGCAGGAGCAGCTCGCCCAGGAGCGCGCCGCGGCGGCCTCCCGCGACGCCGCCATCATCTCCTTCCTCCAACGCATCGGCGGTCAGTCCGTACAGGTCCCACCCGCCGCCACCGTCATCCAGATGCCCACACCGGTGCAGCTCCAGACCCCTCCGCCGGTCAAGCAACCTGCCAGGCAGCACCAGCCACAGCCAACGCCGCCGCCGCCGCAGGCGGCGCCAATCCCGGCCGCGCCCCTCCAGCAGCAACCGCCGCAGCCGCAGCACAAGGAGACGATTCACCACGAGGCAGTGACGCCGCGCAGGGCGCCACCGACGTCCGGCTCATCACTCGAGCTGGTGCCCGCGGCGGAGCAGCACGTCGAGAGCGGGCTAGGAGGAGGGGAGGGCGGGTCGGCGTCGTCGTCGCGGTGGCCCAAGACGGAGGTGCAGGCACTCATACAGCTGCGCATGGAGCTCGATATGCGCTACCAGGAGACCGGGCCGAAGGGCCCGCTCTGGGAGGAGATCTCGTCGGGGATGCGGCGGCTGGGGTACAACCGGAGCTCGAAGCGGTGCAAGGAGAAGTGGGAGAACATCAACAAGTACTTCAAGAAGGTGAAGGAGAGCAACAAGAAGCGGCCCGAGGACTCCAAGACATGCCCGTACTTCCACCAGCTCGACGTCATCTACCGCAGGAAGCACCTCACCGGCGGTGGCGGCGGCGGCGCTTCCGCGGCCAATGTCGCCGCCACGGCAATCGAGCACCAGAACCCGAACCGGCACGAGATAGAGGGGAAGAACATAAACGACAACGACAAGAGGAAGAACGGCGGAGGCGGCGGCGCGCAGGTGCCCACCAGCAATGGCGACACGGCACCGACCACGGCCACGTTCGACGTCGATAGCGGCATGAAGAAGGTAATCTCAATTCTCGCATAGTACTCTCCATCCAACCAATTTCTGCTAGCGTTTCAAGCTCAATATGCGAATGTTCGTGCGGAAGCTAACCGGAAATCCGCTTGCCGTGAAGCCAGAAGACATTGTGAGGGAGCTGAGCGAGCAGCCGCCCCGGGAGTTCACAACGGACGAGACCGACAGTGACGACATGGGCGATGACTACACCGACGACGGCGAGGAAGGCGAGGACGACGGCAAAATGCAGTACAGGATACAGTTCCAGAGGCCGAACCCGGGCGGCGCCAACACCGCACCTCCGCCGGCGACAACCCCGGCGTCCGCGGTGCCAACCTCGACTCCGACGAGCACCTTCCTCGCCATGGTTCAATAGGCGCGCGAACGATGCATCACCAAGTACGTACTTGTTCAAAGAAAAAAAATCAAAGCATCGCCATCACCATCGCATCCTCTCACTACACCACCACCAACACAAACACCATGCATGCATCAGCAATCAGCAACCACTCTCCTTCGAGTTGGGATCTCTCCTGTAATGCATGTGCGGTAAGTGCCAATGACATGTGGGCCCGGAATAGGTGGGACCCACATGCCAGTGACACCAGTACAGCAGTGGATTTGCATCCCTCTCCTTCACCTTGTAATTCTCCCGTGCCATTCCATTATTTATTGATTTCTCTGTGTAATAAGAGCCCTCCCTGATCTCACCTTAACCCGAGGAAGCAGAGGGGGTGGTAGAGAAAATGAGTCCGGGTAACTTTATCTCTATAGGTCACCTCGTCGTGGTAAAGGAAGAATTGTACATCGATGTAACAGTCCCTGATGTCTCTGTTTTTTTTTTCTCTCTCTCTTTTTCTCCTTCCCCTCCGGCGACGGCGGTATACAAGTTTGTATACGGGTATACAACAATTACATACATTTCCAGCAATTTGGAGCAGAGGTCAGAAGGTGTCTTGTTTTTGTTTCTTTTCTTTCTTTGCCGTGGGGAATTTTGTCTCCTTTTAACCCGTTTTTTTTGCAGTGGTATAAAACGTTGTTACTGTGCACATTGTGTGGTTACTCTTCGTATACTTTGCATTTTTGCTCATTGTCTCTGCAATTAATGTAGAGATTTTTGTGTACTCTAGCTTGGTTTTGCCTTCCTACTGAGAAGCTATTTAATTAAGCATCACATGCATGCATCCCAAAATGACTGCAGAAATTTACCAGGGGGATATAGTATTATAGTACTACTACTTGCAGGGTTAATATAAAAAATGGAATGCTTACTATATAATCAATACCATAACCTTTGTTGCTTTTTTGCACTTGTTTTTTTCCCCAGCGGGATCAGTTGACAATTCAATAGTTTCTTTTGCCAGCTCTACCATCAGTCGTCGCTTCACATGATACAGTCTTTAATAGTCAGTCCAAGAATTGTAGAATTATTCTGTAGTCATACTGTAGTTGTTCTGATGATATAACTAGAGCCTAGATCGAAGGGATATAAGCACATCACTGTTGCTGTGAGCATGCTGCAGGCATCAGGGAAAACTATATCCTGTAAGAAAAAATATACTTCAAAACAGAAATAGGAGCAAATCTAAATGCATCAATATTTTTTCTAGTAGAATTAATCATTCAACTAGTATTTTTCTTGACTGAATAGAACAAAATTCTATGAATGAGCCATGTGAAATTAATGGTACCAAATATGTTACGAAGGATATCTTACCAAAGTTAAATGTGTGCAGCCTTAGCGTGTGCTAGGGAGCTCAATATCAGGTGTGTGAATGTGATATGCACATGTATTGATAAGCATATGCTATATGTGTGTATATCTTCCGACTAAGAAAAAAGATAAATTGACAGTCTTTGTAAAAAAGAGATAGGGGTAGCAGCATTCTTCTTATGAGTAGAGGGTACTGTAGATGGTAAGAATCAATTTATTTGGATTGAGTAAGTACGCATTTTGGTCCTCATCACTGAACTGGAAATATAGAAATTTGATGTAGAAATGGACAATCATGATTTTTTTTTAACCGCTCAACTTACTGCTAGTAGTGTTAAATAAATAAGTTTATTTTGGGATGGAAGAGTACACCTTTTAGAAACTTAAGAAAATTTATATATCCAAGTAGTACTACTCCGTAATTTTCTCTAGGCCAAAGGACACCGAGACAAGATGTGATGTGCATGTCGGCACGTGTCAGGCTGACCCACGTCCCGTTGAGGCAGTTTACACTTTAGCCCTCATAAACTTGTTTGTTCCAGAGAGGGCCCATCGCAGACTAGGGAAGGGGACCGCTACTGTAAATCACAAGTCTGTTCGGCGTTTGCTCCTCGATGCATTGAACGCCAACATAAACAGACGAAAATTAACAGTAGCATCAGATCATATTTCAGGTATTAATTTTGGCACATCACCAATTGGAACGCGTACATACTTCCTGGACATACGTGGTATTTTCGTTCTTCCAGTACCAGTATACTTTCTTCTCCAAAAAAAACACATTTTAAATGTGGATTTCATACATAAACACAATAAATCTAATCGGGTTTGTCTATATTATTGTACAAGGTTGTGTCACATTTTTTTTAAAAAAAATTGGGACGTAGGAAGTATGCCGTAGGCAGTTTTTGAACCATGGGGAGAGGCAAAAATTATCGAACCATATATATAGAACTCAGAAATTAATGGTGATTTAATAGGATCTAAGCATGATAATGGACCTTTATATCATGCGTTTCTTGGAAGTAGGCATTTCTTTTATAACCAATGTGAAACTGCGTATTTAAATTTTATCTAGAGCTAGATATTAAAATTTTGATTAGATTCGATATTGATCAGTTCATAATATAGCCGTACAATGTACTAAAAGCGTAATCCATTATAAATCTATACTTAGGGAGTGTTTGAGGAGAAGGGGATTGAGGAGATTGGGAAGATACGCAAAACGAGGTGAGCCATTAGCTCATGATTAATTGAGTATTAACTATTTTAAATTTTAAAAATGGATTAATATGATTTTTTAAAGCAACTTTCCTATAGAAATTTTTTGCAAAAAACGCACCGTTTAGTAGTTTGAAAAGTGTGCGCGCGGAAAACGAGAGCCAATCTCCCCTATCACCCCTAAACGAACGATGCCTTACACCTTGATTTTTCTTTTTCTTTTTAAATTTTTGGGTCAAAGACTGAATTCTTCAGTGATAGTATAACTTGTTGTGAATATCTACATGTATTTTGAGAAAATAAGGCAGTATTCCCTTGAAAGACAAAAATATTTTTTCATGTTAAATTATTTTTGCATGATTAGTTAGTTATACTCCCTCTAGTTTTAGTGTTTTAACATTGTTAATTTTTTATATACATTTGACCATTCATCTTATTTTAAAAAATTATACAAATATAAATCTTGATAAAACATATCACAAAACATAACAAATGATTACTTTTTTATATAGCGAATTACCAAAAGCATGTCCAAAAGTCAACGATGTTAACAACTAAAAAACTAAGAGATTATGTTCTTATGCTAAATTACATATACCTTCCAAACCACATAAAAACTAGTCATATCATTTTTACACTATAAAGTACCTACACTTACATTATAATTATAATGTTAATTTGAAAACTTACACGGTAAGTATTGTAAAATTTCTAATACACAACATATAAGAAAATTAGGATTAAAAATAAGTTACTATTTACTTAAAGTAGTAGATAGGATAATAATATGTGAGAAATTTTATACTCCTTGAGAAAATATTTCGAGATACCTAAATTTTACACTAAATTTTTTTACATCGAGGTACTAAATTTTAATTAGAAAATATGATACCTCCTGATATCTTTTTACCCAAAAACATACTTATATATAGGAGAGGGAGCAATCGTAAAGAAAAAATGACTGAAATTAAGAGAAAAATACGACGCTATAATTTTAGCAATCATGTTGAAAAAATATGTGGTCAAGCGAAGCCCGCGTAGCGACACCAAGAGCTCAAATCAAATCAAAAGGATACAAACGGGAAATATTTCCAATTAAGCGTAACCAAGCTGTAAAAGGCTAGTAAATAGTATCTAAACAAATCAATCGTGCAATTCAACCGGATTAGACAGCAAAGTGCAGACTAAGCGAGGCCAAGTCACCACTCGCGCGGGTGGATAGGCTGAGAATTAAGAACGCGCACGCGCAGGGCGCCAGATACAAATCAATCAAGGAACAGGGAAAAGAGGTCCCTGGTTGCGAGCTCCGATTGAACCCGAAGCCGAGAATCATTAGGAGGCGGAAAGTGACCGTAAATTGGCGGTAAGTGGCCGATAATGACCACCATGCTGCCTAACAAGACGACATCATCGGTTCACACTGAAGCTCTTCTATACTTATCTCTCCTCGCTTTTTTATTTTGTCCATCTTTTTCCCGGTATGCAATTGTGTAGGAATATGAAACACCTTAAACTTCATGAGGAAACCTGCCGAGTCAACATGGAAATTAAGCTCGTCAAAAAGTGTTTTTTTTCTTGCTAAATTATGCTTAGCTTTTAAGTAGTTTGTACTTTATGGAGGACGCCGACATCACTCGAGCTACAGTAAATCCAGCGGAGTTCAAATCAGCAGGGTTGGTGTACAGTGAATCCAGATTCTTTTTCCTGGGATTTACATATGTTCCAAAGTACTAACAGGGAATCGTATAGAAAAAAATATTGCTTTTTATTGCGAGGAAGAAAAAATAGTTTGTTGCTTCGAGTAGTTTCTCCAATTTTCGTCATTATATTCTGCACTGGCTCAAAGTTAAATCGGGACCATGCGCCCCACGAATAACTCAGCATCTCGCCCATGGGTCCATGCATGTCGCGAAAAATCAAGGAAATTCATGTCTTAACAGTTTGGACAAATCAATAATTGTTGGATTTATACTCGTTCTCTGAAGAAATTATATTTGTTGAAAATTTGCATCTACTCTCAAGTTTTTGCACATAAATACATACATCGATCTCTGATCAAGTGTACTCCTAATTGCTAGTATGTGATTGCAGCCTACTCGCTAGTACCAATTTGGATCAATTTCGATGTGTTCGATCGATACCAGTACCAGCAATAAATTCGTAACCGAGCTAGATTATTATTACCTAGCACGTCACTCTGCGTGCATCTTTCCTCAAGCTAATAGGAAATAGCTAATCCCTCCGTCCCAAAAAAAGACAAACCTTGGTTTTCGTGTCCAACGTTTGATCGTTCATTTTATTTGAAAAAATTATGAAAAAAATTAAAAAGATAAGTCACACATAAAGTATTAATCATGTTTTATCATCTAACAACAACGAAAATACTAATTATAAAAAAATTTCATATAAGACGGACAGTCAAACGTTGGCACAAGAACCCACGGTTTGTCTTTTTTTGGGACAGAGGGAGTAGGTCGCTACTGCTCCTGCACATATGTATCACTGCTGGGATGGGACAATGTTTACCTAACAAGTAATCTGAGGCATCTGTACGTATTCTGTGGCACCGTGTATACAAACCCACCTAACGACGATCGATCGCTAGGTACCCTTACCCGTTAGTAGTTGTCACATGCGTGCGCTAGCTCATCTATGCTAGGCTACACATGAGGATGTATGCTTGCATGGATGCCACAATATAATGCCACCCCACCGTAGCTATATATGTTTGTCCAATCCACATCCACCCTCCTTTGCCTAATACCACGGTCGCATGCAGTGTTGGGGGAGTGGCTTCGACTTGAACAAGAGAGATCACCGGTACCCCCTATTAATTTCCTAGAGTAACCTTGCTCCTCGGAAATCAAATCTCTCAGAGGCCTTTCGGAGAGCCTCCGGACGTGCCAAGCCACAATGCGCTTTGGTAGGTTCCGGCGGCTCTGGATAGGAGTCCAAGGCAAGGCATCCGAAGACCCCGGCCCTGGCTATGGAGCCAAAGATCCAACCACGGAAGCCGCCCGTGGGAGCTTTAATGGCGCATTGATCGATGTGCTCAGCTACCTCCTAACACCCTCCGCACAATAGGTGGGGTTGAGGCCGAGACGTCTCGTTATC